TGCGTTCTGAAATTTACAAAATACCCTACCATGTACATATTATGGCCCGTTTTTATGATTTTATACTACCCGTTTTTACCGTGTATGATCTTACTGAACTAAGAGATCCACTATGACGTCAAAGACGCACTGGACGCGCAGTTTAGGGAAACGGCAGAGTGGATTAATCTATTCCGTAATTTGATAATATTTGCAAGAAATTTTGAATGTTTTCAGATATTTTTATACTAGATGGTGAACGCAAACAAACAGTCAAAAAATTATACAAGTACTGTGGTTTCAATCTCGTTTTGTACATATTTTATCAGAGATTATGACGTAAATCAACTGAGTCACGTGACCATACATCCTTCATCCCCTTAAATATGATATTTTTACGTACCATCGATTTTTGAAAGGGGAAAGCCAGAGGGAAGAAAACTTATCTGAAAAAAAAATCTCCAGTAAAAAAGGGCATTACCCATACTCAAAATTCTTATTTAGTTGGAGGAGAGGGATGTAGGTCTCACTTCTATCAGCACAAAATTTTGTTCAAACAATACGACTACACCCTTGCTTGGCTTAACTGTATCAAAAAGAGGGAGGAAGCTACATACCGGTCTTTCAATGAAGATTAACAGTAAAAAGTTATGTTTGGAAAAAAAATGTGGGGGAGCACCTACCCCTGTCGGTACGTGCCTGTATTTAACCCCCCCCCCCCTTCCCTGTAATATTTTGGCATTTTTGCATGGACCAGGGGTATACTAATTGGTCAGAAAAGTACCATAGCTTACATTTTTGATTTATGTATAGTGTAAGTCATAAGATGTGAAAGACATATATTTGTATAATTTTTTTTTTACAGATCTATATATACACCAAAAAAATATGATTCCCGTTTGAAAGAATACTTGCGCAAATGCATTTTTCAAGGTCTTACATGGCAGTATGCGTGACTTTTAATTTTGAGTCTGTAAAAATAATGTTAGTATTTCATCTAAAATTATTTTTTGAAAAAAAAACCGCATGAAATGGTTTAATGATTATTACGATAATTGTGATTAAAGGCTGAAAAGGTGATTTCCATATAGTTTTAACATTTTAAAGTGTATATTTATTGTAAACAACGAATCGGCTGGTTCCGGGGACGCGACCTCTATACATTTTTATTTTTAAGATAAATACATGTGCATTTAACTGAAATTGCTCTCACATTGGTTTCTGTAATTATCATTAAACTGAATTATTAATAATTTATACATAATATAATTAACACGAGATATCTATATTCTGCGACTGTTAAATCTATAAAAAATAATTTGAGTGAATTACCATGTATCTATTAGACATTTCTATAATCAAGGGGCCCGATTCACAAAAGAACTAATACATCTAAGACCAACATTTAATTTTGCGATTTTTTCTTCTTGAAAAGAATTTAGAATGATATTTTTGAAGTGACAATTTCAAAAACAATTTTCAAAAAAAAATTTAATCAATTTAAGTTCTTGATTTTAGTGGTAAGTTCTTTGTAAAACGGGCCCCAAAGAGGACTATCTACATTTTTGGAACTTGTGTCCAATCCCTTTGACATATTGTCAATAAAATATGTTCAAATCAACAAACAAAACAGACGTTTGGGAAAAAATTATAATGGCAGTGTAAAAAAAATTGGGACAAACTTCCATATCTTTTATTAACAAATAGAACTGACAATGAAAACACAATAATTGATTAATAAGGCTGACCTAAAAACTGAAATAAGGAAGAAAAAAATGTCAAAATGATTTTGCAGACTTTATTCATTGACGTTGTAAATTTCTATTACAAACACTGAAAAAATGCATAAACAGTTTTCGCATTTACAATGCGTCTTCACTTCCCGCCATTTTCTTTCACCTGTTACTCCAGGTAAACTGAGGAGTATACTCGCGTAACACGGGTTGATCACCCGTGTCGAATATAGGTTGTTTTATTTACAATATTAGTGACTCGTGTAACACATGTCGCTTAATCGAATATACCCAATGTTTCGCAATATTTTGGTGATTTGGTGAATTTATGCCATAATCCCTAATAAGATATCGATGTTTGATACTGTAGATTCCTAGTTATTTTTCGCCAGTACTGATATAACGAATGGATTTTTCAACGGCAAATCGCGAGAGTAATATTTCGCAAATTGACAGTTGATCAAGAGATTTCAGCACCATAAAAATGAAGGCTGGTAATTTTATTTCCTGTGTACTGCTTCTTGCTAAATTACTTGATAACTAATTCCACGCGTATATCAAGGAAACTAATTTAAAAGTACATAGTTATACATCGTGAACGAAAATATTTCATGAAGATGACGTACAATATTCAATCTCAAAGATCAAATTAAACAAAACAATCCATGAGCAGAGCTGGACTTTAAAGCATCAGATTTGGATCAAGTGACATGCAGGAGTAGGTACATGTATTCCCTGAATACCGGTCACACCCGATGTGTGATCCATATTATTGATCGGGATATAATGGAAAAATCCTTCCACAATTCAGAGTGTGAATGATACGTTCAATAATGGACACTGTTTGATCAATGGTATGTTGTTTTAAGTCCCATTCAACTCTTTTTTCTGATCATAAATTGTAATGCATTTTATACCCCACCACCATCACCACCAAATGTGCAAGGTAGATAAAATTTAATAAACGGCTTTTTAAAGTATTTTATGCATATGAAACATATTGAGATGTTAGATGTGATAATATCTTAGGTACATTGATATAGCATTAAATATGTCCCTCTGAAATATTATTGCAAAAAATTGTATTGTTCTTATTCAAGTTACTAAGGAAAAAATAAAGAAACTCGGCTTGATTAAATTAAAAAATGTTTTAAAGGCCGAGGTTTTCAACTGGTCGGTTTTCCTCAGGTAAGTTTGATGTGCAGTTGAGCTTAATCAAATCGGCTTTTAAGCCCCGAGGGAACAACGCTGGCTTATGTGTGCTATTTTTATACACAGGATATTACCTGGATGTATTACCTGTATGCGTTTTCCTACGAAAATTGTGAAACGAATCCGTTTTTTTTTTTTTCATGTGTATAGCTCATGAATCGGAATGCATAAAAATGAAGCGTTTTTGTTGCACACAGAATGTTTCTCAAATTCTTTCTTTTAAAATTTATATTTTAATAATTCAACAATATTAATATACTGTGTGTTTCTTAATCAGATGTCATAAAGAAAAAAAAATTTAGCAACAAATCTGTCTCTGTAATCTGTATTTCAAATAACACGTCGTGTACGCAAAACGAAAGAAGAAAGGGGATCATAAATTAGTCTTTCGTTCAATACCATTTAAACTTAGAAACGATGTTTTGGGAATAAACTGTTGAAATATAAATACATGTATAAAGTCTAAATAAACATTTAATTTTAAGATAAACACTACTTGATTTTACCATTACGCATGGTCTGTAAAAATTGTCAGGGCTTCGGACCGGGGATGATTCTCCAACAGCAATGAGTGATTATACCGTAACTTCGTTACCATAATATTAATGAATTTCTCGAAAAAAAAAAAAACGACACGTATAGGTTTGTCTTGTAAATGAATATAAATTTTCACTTGACTCCTGAATAATGTTACAATTTTGTCAAACTTGGTATTGAAAATTAATTTTATTGAATTCCATGATAATAGCTTCAAACTAAGGCCGGTTTATTTTCTTAATTATGCAATAATAAATGTAGGTAAACTCATGTTAAAATTATCGATTGTAATCGTGAAATGACCCCCCGCCCTCTTTTTAAATCAAAATATATAGGCTTGATTTTTCTTATCATTTAAATTATTATTTGATAGATTGATTATATTTATGGCATATTCTTATGAATTAAAAAAAAAGAACTCTTTGATTGCTTCAAAAGCATCAAAGGCCTAAATGTTGATTCTTTAGTCGATGCGATCTTCAGACAAGATATACACAACGACAGAAAATTAAATCTCTATCAAATCAAAGTATCCAATCCCAAACTTAATTTCAGATGATTCACAGGGGTTCTAAGACTAGGAAAATTTGAAGGAGGTGCTTATCCCCCCCCCCTTTAATTGTCTTTTTTCACCTAGTACAGTGGCGGATCCAGAGGGGGGGGTTACGGGGGTTGCAACCCCCCCCCCCCCTTTGGATTTGCAAAAAAGAAAGAGAAATAAGAAAGTTCTAATTTTGTTGTTGTGTTTTTACTATAGAAAATGTAAGGTGAAAGGCTATTGTTGTAGTTTATAAAGAAATTCGTTTGTAAAAAAAAAAAATAAAACCCCATCCCTTTACAAAATAGGATTTTCAGGTTCGGAGATTCATTTTCCTTTCTTTTTCAAAAACTTTCTGGTAATGTATACAAGTTCTTTTTAACAGATTGATCAACGTCCCACTTTCAAAAACTATACTCCACCCTGTATCGATATTCTATTGAGTTATTTAACTATATGTATGTGTATAATGTACGTTTTAACTGTTTTCGCCTTCAACCCCCCCTCCTTTTGAAAAATACCTCAACCCCCCCCCCTTTGAAAAATTTCTGGATCCGCGCCTTAAGTACAATAAAGATTCTGATTTGTTAACATAAGGAAATTGTGATTTAAAATGCACTGTCAACGATTCTTGTAAAGTGTACCTAGAGCAGTTGTTCGAATGGATCATTTAGGAATATGAGGACAACGTCCTATAATAAAAAAAATTCTGGCATAAGATATTTTAGATTATGCTTGACAAAAAAATTCCTTCCGTGGCTCTTAATCATCTTTTTATATGTGAGAGAGAAAATATGACGTAATGCTTGACAAAATATTATAACTAAAATAATGTCTGCTTGAGAGATCGTTCTAAGCCAGTATTTATACTTTTTATAGTTTTACATGAGGTTAAACAAACAAATTGTAAAACTTCCTTTTAAATAATCTCTTACGTTAATATGCTTATCTAAAGCCATTCATACAGTGGCTTTTATACTTCCTTCTATGTAACTATTAACTTGTGCAAATGGAGATTTTGATTTTTTTGTTGCTCATGCACACATTTCCAACAAACGGGTATGGTAAGTCTTTTACATGGTAAAAAAAATCTCTATTGTTTGAGGACATGACTACTGTATACAAGATTGAATGTGTCTTACGCTCGTGTATTGTAGTTTGTCTTTCATCTTACCCCCCGTTCGCACATATACGCCGCTTCTACTACGATCAAAGTGTGGTCAAAAGCGTGGCCGATCGTGACAAATCGCAGGAGGAACGTCGTGGGGTCGTCAGAAACGTAGTATGATCGCAGTAGGGTCTTCATGATCGGAGAGCTCTACGCTCTCACCACGCTTATTTTTAACATGTTCAAAACAAGCGTGGTGAGATCGTGGCCAATAAGAATCGGGGTGAAGTCGTAAAAAGGGCGTAGTAGAAGCGCCGTAATCGTACAAGCAGCGCGGAAGCATCGTAGAGAGATCTTCATGATCGTAGTAAAAGCGCCGTGAGAGCGTAGGAATTTACCAAGCACGCTCATACAACGCTCCCTCTACGTTCGTACTACGTTCTCACTACGATCCCTCTACGTTCCTGAAGATCCTACGAAGACCTACAATGACCTTACGCCGATCATATCACGACCTATCAGACAGGAGTTTGTTCTTATACCGTTGATTTTTAACCAATCATCATCTGTTAACTACATGTAAAGGGTGACCATATACTTAATGATCATTTACAATTGAGCATTTTCACATCTTGTTACAGTTATAATAATTGAAAATTCCCTAAACCATGTGGTAAAGGCCGAAAAAAAACTGCGGTCGCAAAATATGTATTGACATCGCTAAAATTGTACTACAAAAATCTGCAGTTTCAAGATATATTTACATCATCACCAAAATCGTACTAGAAGCGTAATGCAATCGTAATATGATCGGCACCAACGTAGCGACATCGCGGTACAGTGATCTAGGTCTGTGAAGCGTCGTAGTATGGTCTTCAATGTCGTAGTGGCAGCGTAGCGTAAACGCACTAAACACGGCTGCTTGTCGGCAACGGTCTGCGTAACATCGTAGTAGAAGCTTGTTAGCAGCGCGTTTGACGTAGGGACATCGTAGTAAGGTCGTAACGAAGACCATAATTTGCCAAATTGCTCTATTTTGACGCCGATCGGCTGCGATCTGCCCCGATCTAAAAAAAAAAATTCAGATCGTGGTTTGATCGGGATGATCGCCGTAGAGTCGCAGCTCTGTGTGAACGGGGGGTTAGGTACGACCACACTTGCCTCTGGAGCTGTATAATACTTTCGTTAATTAACATGAAAACACACGAATATTTGCCTCTGTAAATATAAAACTGATTATGGCATATACACTTATTTCTGATGTCAGTACATTTTTTTATTTCTTTTTAGTGTCTTTTAAACGGAGAAATGAAACAAAGATTGTTTAAAAACATCATATTTTAAAACAACCTTCCTTTATTTTTTTACTTTTATTCTGAAAAAGATATGTCAACAAACACACCGATAACAAGAAATGGAATTCAGGCTATGCGACCAAATGCATTTCAAATTCCAGTGATAAAATATGAAATGTTTCTGATCTCTGTACATCTTCTTTTTCTTTTTAGTGTCTTTTAAACGGAGAAATAACACAAAGATTGTAAAAAAAAAAACATTACATTTAAACCACTCCTCCTTTATTCTTTAAATCAGAAGTTAATTCTGAAAATGATTTTTAAACAAATACATCGATAACAAGATAATGAATATTGGTTATGCGACCAAATGCATTTCATAATCCAGTGATAAATTAAATATGGAAAACTTTAAATCTTTGATCATGTCTATTTAATTAAAATTTAACGTTCACTGTAACTATATGATTTATGAGGCCCTTAAATATTTATTTAGTTTAGGATTTGAACTTTATCGTATGAATGGTTAGTAAACTGGTATTATACAACTAAGCTAAGAGGAATCTATTTCCATCTATATATATTTATATATATATTTTTTATTTTTCTTATATTAAAAAAATCCATAGGATAAATGTATGTATGTTTGTTTTTTTTTAAATATCAATGGTTCTTGCCCACAAGAATAGCGATAATCTGTCTGAAAATGAGAAGGTTACCTTTTTATTGAGGCTTCTTGATTCTGATTATTCTACAGTTAATATTATATTGTTTCAGAGGTAATTAATTCATGTCATTTTGTTGAAAAAAAAAATGAAACGTTTCCTTATTTCCTTATCATTACTTTTTTTTTTATTTCTAAGTAAATATTTGCCATAATGCAAAAAATCAGACTGAATTTGCTAGAAATTCTTGTTAATAATGGGGTTTATCCAATATGGATAAACCTGGTTATTTCGTGCAGCTTAATGTTTTACATGCAAAGATAGATAACTCTTAGTTTATTAACATTGAACGTCATAAATCATCGGGCTCGGTGCTTAAAAAATTCTTGATATTTCTTGTATGCGCATGTCTTCTAGAATATTCCTTTTGAATCTGTAAATTGAACGAAGCAGACGCAAAGATTTTTTAAAAGAATTAATCGATCATCATCTGCTGATTTATTGTCAAATACAAGTAAATATGTTACGTGTATCAAGAGCTTCGAAGGCCAGAAGACCTTATTTCAGAGAAATCACTGTTCTGAACATGATGTCGCCATTGTCGAGCAGGCACCTGACTCAGAGTCACTGTAACTTCCTTAGTTTACCTGTTACCTGCTAATCCAGCTCAACATAATCGAGGTACAGTTTAATTTGACCCAAATCCTTTTATTAATTATCATATTTTTAATTTTTACGAATTTCCATACAATGCAACATTCAAATGACGTCATATTTGTTATCAAGGGGAACCCTATGCATGTTTTTCACAAAATATGACACCTTTTTTCCACCATTGCTATTTGCCAAAACCAATATCGAGTGTTTTGTGTATTTCTGCACATTTGGGAATTTGCCTAAATCTAATGCACGTGTATCCGTCGTGGTTTAAACCAGAATTACAAACTTGCTTTAAAAAACCAAGACCCTGCATAAATAGTCTATAAACTATCCATCTAGGCTTCACATAGTAATAATTTGGGATTTCCATCGTTCGTTATGTTTTCTACGGTGATCTAGTAATGCCATTTTTATATAATTTTCAATGAAAATATCGGGGTTTGTTAATAAAAAAAAATCGTCCCATTACATGTACATAAACATTTAATTTCTTTAAATATACACTAAATTATACATGTACATAGAATTAATTTTTTAATAATTGAATTAATCGAATAATTAAACGTTTAACAATATTTTGTTTTTCTAAACGACTCCCAAAATGATTAAATAAATAAATAAAAATAAGGTATTCTAGACTTATTGATTTGTAATTAATATTAATTTTATTTCTTGGGAATTTTAATTGTAGGACACGTCACACCATTTCCTAGTCGTGTATGGCAGATATAATCTATAAAATTAATGCACTTCAATTTTATTTAGATAGTTCAATGGTTACGTGTGGTGTTTAGTAAACATTGGTCTTGCCCACATTGACCGGTTGACTGGCCTGAGGAGTAATGCAGGGATATCGCCTTCCTAGAAATTGTATCTGTTGTACTAAGGATTATGATCTGGGCTGAAAGTTTAAATTAAATTAAAAAAAAAACCAAAAAAAAAAAAAAAAAAACAACTTCATATTGACAATTTTTCTTTGGTTTATAGCAATTTAATCACAAATCATCCAAAAAAAGAATTATGGCATTAGTCGGGATGTTAGTGATGCAGATTTTTTAAGTTTAATGTACATTTAAAAGCAACATATACAAGGTATATTATAAAATAATGATAATAAATAAATTCCATATACTATTTCTCGGTTTATGTGGACCAGGTTTCATTACAGTACCTTTTCCCTCCATGTACATGTACCTATTCAGTTTTGCATCTAACTATTTAGGAGCCAGCTGTAGCCAGTCTCCTTCAAACTGGTGTATCTCAAAATACAGAAAGCAAAAGTCTTTTTTCAATTTCAGGCAACAGGTATCATTTCAGCAGATCTGGTCCCCTCCTTTTGATCATATGATTAATTTTATAGCATATATATGTCAGAGTATTATGGCTTTTCTACCGTCAAATGTTATTTATCAGGAATCAGTTTTGTCATCAACTTGCATGGTTGACAGAATCCAATCTATTCATTTATTATTAATAAGATATGGGTTGGTTACAAGAGATGTAGCTAATGCGTCTCAGGATACAAGAAAACTATTATATTACCTATGTTGGATAACATTGTCAGTGTTTTGCCAGATTTGTGTTCTGATTTTGAAGCTGCTTTATTTAAGTCTGCTTTTACATGATTTTGAAGCTGCTTTATTTAAGTTTGCTTTTACATGATTTTGAAGCGGCTTTATTTAAGTCTGCTTTTACATGAGCTTTCTTTGCATTACTAAAAGTGAGTAAAATAGTGGCTTTGGGTATCAAGCATATAATTGTCTCTTGTGATACCATTTAAGTTTTTTGTTACAACATTTTAGACTGGCCAAACTGGTTCGGGAACATGTTTGCATTTTGAAAAATATTACAATATGATTGTTTCAATCTTTGCAGAATTTTGCTGTATTATGTACAAATATTGATAGGGCGTCTCAATTTTCACATTTAAACTCAAAACCCTTATCCCAATATCAGTTTCCGTCCATCTTAAGGTATTCAATGTATAATGAAGGGATTTTCGACAATTTTAGATAAAGATAAAAGTGAAATGAACCAAAATTCGCTAGAAATAACATGTACAGAGACGGTCATTTTGCACATTGAAAGTTTCTAAGAGTTACCTGGCCTTGATTAAAAAAAAAAAATTATTTATCTAAATTTCTTCGGTATTATTCACTTTATATCATATTTTAATAAACAAACAAACGCATATTTTTATCAAGAGATAATACTCGGATTAGTTTGAAATTCAGATTACTTCTTAAAATATCTTTCAAACACATATGCGCTGTCCATAGACTTTAATACATGTATTAAAATCAAGGTGCAATTAATTGGTTAGTAATCAACATGTA